CCCTTGGCCCACTTGTGCTGGGAAGGCAGAGGAGGGAGCCTTGCCTATATTTGGACCTTGCTGTGTGGGCTAAAGAAACATAAACCAGTTGTAACCAAAGAATTAAAGAGGAACTTGGAGTTTGGAGCATTGCAGAGTCTGAAATTTGTGCTTTTCAAGCAATTTCTTGTTGTTCCCATTTTTTTTAACTGCTTCCTGAGGTGCAGCAGCTTTACCTGGGCAACTGGTTTTAGCTGGAATTGCACATGATGGCTGGAAACATCCCACTAATGCCAGCCTTGGTTAGCAGGATTTTGTAGTTTCTCTGTGTATTTCTTGGAATTCTTGCTACTAATTTTAAGTGTTTGTAAGGAGCTTTAAATTCTGAAAATAATCCCCTTGTTCCAACACAAAAAGGGGTAAATTTTCAGTTGCATCTGAGCACTGGTGACTCTGAACATCCAACAAAACAGACAAACACCTCAATACTAAGTTTAGGCAAATATTTTCCATAGAACACAGCCTGCAGTATAAATTCCAGTAAATATATGACAGAACTTCCCAAAATCATGTCTTCTTTAATTATCTGTATTTCCCTGAAGAAACAGAGAGGTTTCCAGCTGGCTCCTTGACCTGAGTGTTTCCAGTGTCCTCTCTGATCCTGGGTAGGAACATCCCATCCAGCTTTTCCTCTACAGGTGTTGAAAACATTTTGCCAGCTTCAATCAGCCCTGATAAAATAATTAGTTTTCCTTTCAATTCTTCCATATTTTATGGACATTTTCTTGTTCTTCCTACTTTTTCCTCAGCTTCCATATGCCAGACCTGGAACATTTAAGTGCAAGGAGCTGTTTGTGTGTGGCCACCACCTCTGGGAGCTTTCAGAGCCTCTCCTTAGGGTTTCTTGCTCTCCTTTAGCCTGGGGAAACTGAGGGATGAGCATAATACTGTAATAATAAAAGCCAAAGATCCTGTGGGAGCTTTGGGGATGAGTTTTGGGGTTTTTCTGGTTTAATCTCATGACTTTTGAAATAATCTTACAGTGTGTGGAGGACTGACAAAAACCACTCGGGTCTGTGGGGTTTTATTCACGTTGGCATCCCAGGGCAGAGCTTTAAGGGCTTTATTTCTCCATCATTCCCAGGGAATGCAGCAGGAGCTGTGGGAAGCAGGGAACTGGGCATGGAGATGTGGAAGTTCTCTTTCCAGGTGGCAAATAAATGAAATTTTATGGAGTAGGTGCCAGGGTGTACCCGGGCTCTTTCTGAGGGTCTGTTCTCCAGACGGATGGAGAGGCTGAAGCTGGTAATTCCAGTTTGGGTAGATCTCAGAGGTGCAGCTGTGGTTTGGATGTTCCTTTGGGTTTTTTTCCTGCACAGCTTTGGGGCTGCAGGATGGGC